CGGGTCTGGCTGCCGCAGCCCCGGCAGCCCCGGCCGCGAAGCACCCAGGAGGTTACACCGCCACGGGTGGCTTTTTCCCTCCGTCCATCCCTCCCTCCCTCAACCTACCCCGGCACCGTGAATTAAAAGGAAAAAAAGACACCACCACATACGCACCCGCACACGCCGGTGGCATCGCAGCGCCCCGCAAACGCACCCTGCGGGCGCGTCCCCTTCCTTCCCCCTGCACAAGCTTGGCCGTACAAATCGTTCCTCTGCACATCCACGCTTTAGCGCTACGTTTGTTTTTCTGGCACATGGCTGCGTCCTCCGTAACCCGCCCCAGAAATTTTGGAAAAAAGTAGCGGAAGTCTTTCATCGTTAACGTTTGATTTATTTAAAGTCCTTAACTGCAAATGATCAAAAACATACTCCACGCATTAAATTCTCAGTTATCGTTTTAAATCAAAATATTTTTTCAATTACAATCACATTTATAAAATTAACAAAATTTCTTAAATTCACGTGTAATTCTTTTTTTACTGTCATTTAAAGCAATTTCCAGCTGTAAAGAAAGAAAAAAATATAAACCATGCAATAAATTAAGAACATTGAGACAGCGAACAGGAATAAAAATAAAACCCGTCTGGCTATGCTAACACCGTGTAAAACTGTGGAAAGTGCATTAACACTGGATGAAACAAGCTAACGATGGCGATAATTAAATGGCCACAAAAAAAATTGGATGTGGAATTTATTAAACAAGTTGGAAAAAGGGAGAGAGACCGAGCTCTCCTCTTTTCCTTGCGTCGGTGTAATAGTCAACGTTTCCTGGGGGAGGGGGAAAATAACCTTGTTATAGATACACAGTTCTAGCTGGTACACAATGAAGACACTTAAATTAAATAAGCATGTCATCCACATGTTGATGAGAGTTCCTGATGAACGAGAATCTTCAGTAACAGATGGGAAGGAAAAAAAATATCCAACTGGCTGTGACCTCTTTATATTACATCCCAAGACAGGTAACACTTGGAGAAAAATAAGGGTCGCATCCTGCACTCCAAAGCTCCAGCTGGTCCCCTCGGGAGTGCAGGATCCGGCCCGCAGCATCTGGGTGTATGCGGGTTGTACTAGCCGAAGGTTTATTTTGCAAGTATCAAAAGGATGATCCGAGAAAGTAAATAGTCCTCTTGTTGCTTAGAGATTCTCTTAGTGTTTTGCTACTTCACAGCAGTATTGTCCTTCAAAGCCTTTTTAATTAAAAAAAGCCTTAAATGTCTACTCGCTTCTTCATCTCCGTATTGTTAAAGTATTGCCACATACCTGTAAACTTACATGAGATTATAGAGCACAGAAGGGGGGAAGACGAGGGGGGCGGCAAGCACAAACAAGTAGTTTACAAGCTCAACAATTTTTTCTTCTTTTTAGTAACACCCTGCAAAGGCTAGGGGGGATCTCCGGGGAGAGGGGCTGGGCGGCGGGGGCGAGAGGGGGTATGTACAAGCGGGACGCGGCCGGCTTTGCAGGAGGTCGTGGTGGATCATAACAACAAACAACGCGTTGCGAGACAATTAAAAAGTAACAGTCCTTTGCACGCAGCGTGCGGAAACACCTCGGTTTGTCGCAGGGAGAGGGAAAGGGGGGAGAGAAGCCAGGAAAGGGGAGGGGGGGGGAGAGGGGCTCCGCCCCAGCCGGCGGACACACCTTGGTAGTAGGAGGGCTCTAGGGCCGAGGGCTCGATGCTGCTCCGGCCCGCCATGGAGGCGCTGCCCAGGGGCAGCCCGCCGGGGGTGCTGGGCCCGGAGGGGGAATATTGCAGCGCCTGCTCGTAGGCTTTGAAGTCCAGCTTGTGCTGCTGCTCCGAGGAGGACATGAGGTTGTTGATGGAAAAGGGGTGGTTGAAGGAGTAGTGGGGATCGCCCTTGAGGTGGAGCTGGGGTTCGTGGGCTAAGGAGTGAGGGGGGTGCGGGACGGAGGCCAAGGCGGGGACGGAGCTGATGGTGGAGGAAGCGGCCGAGGCCGAGGTCTTTAGCTCTGTGCTCGATCCGCTGTGGTCCATAGACTGGGGGCTGGTGGACGGGTTGGAGCTGGAGAGGGAGGTGGCGGTGTCCAGCTGCGCGGGTTTATTGTGGCCTCTGTGCAGGGGGGAGTTGGAGCTGGAACTGGAGGCCCCGGCCTGATCTTTCCTGCCCTCCTGAGGGGCTTTGCTGTTCGCCGGCTTCTCGCACTTGAAGCGCTTTTGCCGGCGGAGGTAGCAGCCGTTTTCAAACATGTTGCCGGAGTCAGGATGCAGGGTCCAGTAGGAGCCCTTGCCGGGCTTGTCGGGGGAGCGGGCCACCTTGACGAAGCAGTCGTTGAAGGAGAGCGAGTGGCGGATGCTGTTCTGCCAGCGCTGCTGGTTCTGCCGGTAGTAGGGGAAAAGGTCCATGATCCACTGGTAGATCTCGCTCAGCGTCAGCATCTTGTTGGGCGACTGCTGGATGGCCATGGTGATGAGGGAGATGTAGGAGTAGGGAGGCTTGGCGTGGGGGTAGCTCCGCTTGAAGGTCTTGGCGTCCCGCGTCCTGCCGAGGTTGGACTGGGTGTAGGCCATGGGGCTCATGCAGGGGTTCATGCCACCGTAGGGGCTCAGCCCGTTCATGGGGGCCGGCTGGGCAGACATGGCGTTGATGCCGCCGGGGCTCAGCGCCGTGCCCATGGCGGCCACGCCGGCCGGCATGCCGTTCACTGGCCCTGCCG